TTTATTACTCTTGTAAGTCCATATGTACATTTAAACTGTTTATCTTGTTTATTGACTGTGTATTCCCTTTCCAATGCATGTATACTAGAGCAGTGTTTTCTATATTTTTATTGTATCTCCAGCACCTAGGTACTCAGTTAATATTTGTTGGATGAATAAATGAAGGCATGAAGTAAAATGGGGTTAGGGATACCTATCACTCATCAGTACCCTGTTTTGCTATTGTCAGGGTTTGCTTTTATAAAATAAAATGCACAGATCTTGAGAGTACAGTTTGATAAATTTCAACAAAAGTACTAGTATACTGATGAAACCAGAACTCCATTTAAGATACAAATCTTCCTACAAAGTTTCATGTCTCTTTCCTGTCAGTTCTCTTTTTTTGTCACCATAGATTAGTTTTCCCCAGATTTGACTGTCATTTATATTGAATCATGTAGCATATACTTTTTTTTTTTGTATTTCCTACTTGCACTTAACATAATGTTTTTGAGAGTTATCCAACTGATTGCATGTATCAGAAATTTATTCCTTAAAAAACTTACTAAAGGATGTGAAGGACCAGATACTAAAAACTAAGACATTATTAAAATTGAAGAAGACACACAAAAAATGAAAAGATATTTGTGTTCATGGATTGGAAGAATCAACATTATTAAAATGGTCTCTTTACCCAAAACAATATACAGACTTAATGCAATCCTTATCAACATTTCAATGACATTTAAAAAAGAAATAGAACAAGAAATTATCAGATTTATATGGAATGACAAAAAACCCCAAATAGCCAAAGGAATCCTGAGAAAAAAGAACAAAGCCAGAGATATCACATTACCTAACTTCAAATTATACTACAAAGTGACAATTATCAAAACAGTAAGATATTGGCAGAAAAACAGACCAATGAGACAGAATTGAGAGCTAAGAAGTAAATTTACATATATATATGCAAATAATTTTTCACAAAGGCTCCAAAAACATACATACAATGGAGAAAAGAAAGCCTCTTTAATAAATGGTGCTGGGCCGAAACCGGTTTGGCTCAGTGGTAGAGCCTTGGCCTGCGGACTGAAAGGTCCCGGGTTCAATTCCGGTTAAGGGCATGTACATTGGCTGTGTGCACATCCCCGGTTGGGGATGTGCAGGAGGCGTCTGGTCGATGTTTCTCTCTCATCGATGTTTCTGGCTCTCTATCTCTCTCCCTTCCTCTCTGTAAAAAATCAATAAAATATATTTTAAAAAAATAAATGGTGCTGGGAAAATTGGAAAGCCATGTGCAAAAGAATGAAACTAGACTATTTGTCAATATACATAAAAATTAACTCAAAATGGATCAAAGACATAAATAAAAGATCTAAAACATTCCTATATAATAAAAGCCTAATATGCTGATTGTCCGGTCATTGGTTCAACCAATCAAGGTATAATCTACACTAATAAAAGAGAAACATGCAAATTGACTGTACCTCTGTCACACCCACCAGCCAATCAGGAGTGGGTATGCAAATTAACCCATCCAAGATGGCTATGGCCATAGAGTGAGCAGGAGGCTTGGGTTTCCAGGGCAATGGAGGGAGCCAAGCTTCTCACCTGCCCTGGCTGGCCCTGGCTTCCACTCAAGGCTCAAAGTTTCAATTATAGAAGATAAATAAATCCCAGATATAGGGCCTTCGTTTGGGTTGCCAGGGGAGCAAACCACCAAAGGCTCCTCGCCCAGGCCGCCCCACGCCCCAAGGGACATCCTTTAGGGCAAACCAGCTGGCCCCCACCTATGCCCCAGGCCTCTATCCAATCTAATAAAAAAGTAATATGCAAATTGACCATATACTCCAACACAAGATGGCTACCCCCATGTAGACACAAGATGGCCACCACAAGATGGCTAGCAGGGGAGGACATTTGGGAGGGACCAGGCCTGTAGAGGAGGGAAGTTGGGGAGATCAAACCTGCAGGGGAGGGCAATTGGGAGGGATCAGGCCTGCAGAGGAGGGAAGTTGGGGGCAACTGGGCCTGCAGGAAAGGGCAGTTAGGGGTGACTAGGCCTCCATTGGAGGGCAGTTAGGGGTGACCAGGCCTGCAGGGGAGGGCAGTTAGGGGCAATCAGGCTGGCAGGGGAGCAGTTAGGTATCAATTAGACTGGCGGGAAAGTGGTTAGGGAGTGATCAGGCTGGCAGGCAGAAGTGGTTAGGGGCAATCAGGAAGGCAGGCAGGTGAGCAGTTGGAAGCCAGCAGTCCTGGATTGTGAGAGGGATGATCCTGGTAGGATCAGGCCTAAACAGGCAATTGGACATCCTGGAGAGGTCCCAGATTAGAGAGGGTGCAGATTGGGCTGAGGGACACCTCCCCCCATGCACAAATTTCTTGCTCTGGGTCTCTAGTATCTAAGGATATGCTAAGGCTGCTCAACTGTTTGTTATGATGTATACTGACCACCAGGGGGAAGACAGTCAACTAGTCAACCAGTCCCTGTGATGTGCACTGACAACCAGGGGGCAGATGCTCTGACTAGTAGGTTAGCTTGCTGCTGGAGTCCTGCTGATTGGGACTGAGCGAGATGGGCCAGACACATTCCAGTGCCCTCCTGCAGTCCCTCCCAAGCTGGCCAACCTCCCATGTCCCTCCTGGGCCCTGATCGTGCACTGGTGGGCTTGGGCTGCTCCCTCTCACAATCTGGGACCCCTCAGGAGATGTTGGAGAGCTGGTTTCTGCTCAGTGGTGGGTGCATTGGCCTGTGGACTGAAGGATCTCCAAGTTTGATTCCGGTCAAGGGCACGTATCTTGGTTGAAAGCTTCATCCTGGCTCCCTTCATGGGGTGGAGGCAACCAGTCATAGATTTAAAAGAACCTCATTTAACTCTACATATAAACAGAAGAATTTTTTCATACCTTCATAATGAACCAAGCAACAGCAACTATTCTCAGGACTCAAAATTAATTATAGCTTCCCACAGCCATTATTGTAGAAATGAAAAAGCTGACCCTCAAATTCAAATTCATTCAGAATTATAAGGGGCCCCGAATAGTGAAAACAAGTCTATTATTCCTTGATTAAATTTATTCCTAGGTATTTTATTCTTTAGTTTTACTTCTATTTTTTTAAAAAATTAATTAATTAATTAATTAATTTATTGCCTAATTGATCTGGCTAGAATTTCTAATATGTATTAGAAGTGGCAAAAGTGGGCATTCTTTTTTTTTTTTTTTTTTTTTTTTAAATATATTTTATTGATTTTTTACAGAGAGGAAGGGAGAGAGATAGAGAGCTAGAAATGTCAATGACAGAGAAACATCGACCAGCTGCCTCCTGCACACCCCCCCACCGGGGATGTGCCCGCAACCAACGTACATGCCCTTGACCGGAATCGAACCTGGGACCTTTTAGTCCACAGACCAACGCTCTACCACTGAGCCAAACCGGTTTTGGCAAAAGTGGGCATTCTTGTTCCTGCTCATAGGCAAGCATGTCAAGTTGCATGTGGCCCACAACAAATAACTTTTGTGGCCAGCCAATATAACGGTATGTAAGAAATGTTTTTTTTATTTTATTTTTATTTTTTAAATATATATTTTTATTGATTTTTTTTAATTTAAGAAATGTTTTAATAAAAATTTTATAACTTAACTTTTACTATATTCTGTTATACCTAATTATTAATAATGAACTACAACGTTTGCTAATGACTGAATACTATAATCGTGTTACATTCATTTCCCTTACTTGCAGGTACACCATTTCCCTCCACTAATACTAGCAGCAAATATTTTAGTAGCTGATTGCCATGTCATTAGTCTTGCACTGACTTGTTTGGTGTGAGCAACAGGAAATATTTCGCTTTTGGAGAACAAGAAAAATGGGTTTATTTGTGTTACGCTTATTTATTTGTGCAGTTATTCAGTGTCTGATAAGTTAATGTTCAAGAAAAAAACGTTAATTTTTATTAAAATGTCCTATTTTATGTTAACAATTACTCATTTACTTCAGCCCTTTGTATTCAGCAGGCTCTTATCTAAATAAACCTACCTTTCTATGAAAATTGAAGCTTTTGTTTTTTTTACAGCCCACATAAACTTAAACCTTGCTTATTTGGCCCATGTTAGCCTTTGAGTTTGACATCCTTGTCTTAGAGCAAAGGCTTCCTTCCATTGAATATAATTTTAGTTTTGGGATTTTCATAAGTGTGCTTTATCATGCTAAAGAAGTACCCTTTTATTGATAGGTTAAGCATTTTTAATATGAAAAGCTGTTGGGTTTTTTAAATACTTTTTTGGTGTCATTTGAACTGATCATGTGTTGTTTTTTTCCTCTTTAGTCTGTGAATGTGGTATAATGATTTCTCTATACTGACTCTCTAGTTTTCTTGAGCTTTCTTTATCTGACTTTGTTTATAGGGTGATGCTGGCCTCAGAATGATTTAGGAAATGTTTCCTTTTCAGTGTTTTGGAAGAGTTATAAAGGATTGGTATTTTCCTTTACATGATTGATACATTTAACTGTGAAGCCCTCTAGTCCTAGACTTTTCTTTTTGGAAGGCTTTTGAATTCTGCTGTAATATCTTGTTATAAGTCAATTTGTTCTTGAGTCTTTTTAGGTGGTTTGTGTATTTCTAGGAAATTTTCCTTTAATCTACGTTATTTAAGTGGTTTTCACATAATTGTTCATTGTATTATTTTTATATTTTTATTATTTAAGGTCAGCAGTAACATCCCCACTTTCATGTCTGATTTTAGTAATTTCAGTTTTATTTTTTAAGTCAATTTGACTAAAGATTTGTCAATGTAGTTAATGTTTTTGAAGAACCAACCTTTCGTTTCATTGTAATGTAAATTTACTGTGTAATTAGCAGTTTTCTAGCCTTAAATGTTCAGAAGTGCTAGGTATTTGGCTTTATTAATATACCTATTCACACTTAAATTATTCATTATGCTATTTACTTTTTAAGATTAATTAACCTCCCCAGTCCCAAAATTACATATAAAATTCTTATTTGCTTTGTTTCCAGGCATGTACTGGCATTGAAAACATTGATGAAGCTATTACATTGCTTGAACAAAATAATTGGGACTTAGTGGTAAGTACTTTAACTTTTCTAGCTTTATTGAACTATAATTGACATGTAATATATAAGCTTAAGGTGTATAATGTGATGATTTGGTATATGGATGTGCTGTGAAATGATTATTTGTTAGTTAATATATCCATTACCTCAGATAATTTTTTGTGTCGTGAGAACTTTTAAGATTTACTCTCTTAGCAACTTTCACGTATACAATTAAGTATTGTTAACTATAGTTAGCATACTGTACATTATATCCCCAGAACTTATAACTGGAAGTTTGTGCCCTTTGACTACCTTCACTCATTCTCCCTACTCTGGCAATCAACCACCAGTCTACTATGTTTCTGTGAGTTTGGTTTTCTTTTTAGATTCAACATATAAGTGAGATCATATAATATATGTCTTTCTCTGACTTATTTCAAGCACTTTTTTTGTCTGACCACTATTCAAATTTTATGAAATTTGAATGTCTTAATATTCTTTTTTGATTTCAGAGGAACGAGATGAAAAGAGAGAGGTAGAAACATCAGTGATGAGAGAGTATCACTGATCGGCTGTCTCCTGCATGCCCCCTACTGGGGATTGGGCTCACAACCCTGGCATGTGCCCTTGACCAGAATCAAACCTGTGACCCTTCAGTTCACAGGCCAATGCCCTATCCACTGAGCCAAACCATGGTGCGGCTCTTTGGCCTCTTGATGACTCTTCCTCAAAATACCACATGCGGGCGCGCACGTATAATGCGAATGAAACTTCGTGGTCCATGCACAGAACTTGGTTTTTCGGCTCTCAAAAGAAATTTCAATCGTTGTACTGTTGATATTTGGCTCTGTTGACTAATGAGTTTGCCGACCACTTAGTCTTAGTATTAGTATTAGTATTAGTATTAGTATTAGTATTAGTATTAGTATTAGTATTCTTAGTATTCTTAGTATTCTTAGTATTCTTAGTATTCTTAGTATTCTTAGTATTCTTAGTATTCTTATAGTTAGTTTTAGTATTCTTATAGTTAGTTTGGCATATTGCTGCCCATCTGTAACTCTAACATGAATGGGTAAAACCAAAATGTTATAACTTTAATATGAAGTTCATATTTAATATGAAGTTCATTATTAAATTACTAAATTATGAATTCTTATGTAATTTAAATAATTTTAAAACTTCTCCAATCTTATTGTGTATTAAAGTTCATCTTCCCTGTGGTATTGTGGTGGAGATATTTGAAAGAAGAGAAGAGCCAGACTTGTCTGAATAACTTTATTTGATGTTTCCCCCTCACTTCCTGGGGCCTTCACTGATAATTATTCCTTTCTGAAGATGTTAAAGAAGTGGCATTCTGCTGTGGTTTTCCTTATGAACTTCAGGCAGATTTTTAAAAAAAATATATTTTATTGATTTTTCACAGAGAGGAAGGGAGAGAGATAGAGAGCTAGAAACATCGATGAGAGAGAAACATCGACAAGCTGCCTCTTGCACACCCCCCACCGGGGATGTGCCTACAACCAGCATACATGCCCTTGACTGGAATCGAACCTGGGACCTTTCAGTCCGCAGACTGACGCTCTACTGCTGAGCCAAACCGGTTTCGGCCAGACAGTTTATTATAATAGTGTTTTAGTATTTTTTGGGGTGTGGAAGGTGGCAGGAACTCAAAAGGCAAGGTCCATTACAATACTACACATTCACAAAATTGTAATTTAGCTACAATTGCAAAGCAAAGTAAAAAAATGTACAATGTTGGAGCAGTATTGGTTGTATTGAGATACAACCAATACTGGCACAGATATCCATCCCTCATTGCTTTTGAAATCCTAAAAAAGTCCAAATTGCAATTAGAAGAAGTGCTAATTTTTCAAAGTCAAAACTTAAGGTGCGTACTTACAGAGCTGAAGATTAGATGTGTAGTTATATCCAAATCCATACATGGACTTACATAATTAATTATCAGTTATCTGTGTGCTTTGTGTAGATTTACTACTATTAATTTTTTTAATCAAAATATAAAAAACATTTGTTTTCAGCTTGTAAAAGTAATAATGCTCATTGTAATGAACTGAGAAGATAAATTTACAAAGAAGAAATGAATAATCACCTTTAATCCCATCACTTAGAGGTAGTAATTGTTTAACATTTTTGGGTATATTATTTCAGGGTGTTTTCTCTTAATTATGTGATTAAATTTTTAAAAATGCAAATGTGATTGTTCTCTTTCTACTATTTGGTGATTTGCATTTTTACATAATAACCTATCATGAATGTTTTTCTATCCAAGTAAATGTGACTGCTTGCCATTTTTAAGACTGTTTGTTTAATGTTTACATGTTATTTCTTGTCATGATTGTAGCATACTAATTTTACTAATCTGTAGACATTTAGGAATTTTGCTATTATATAAATTGCTGTAGAAAACAATCATGTACATTCTTTCATACTGACCTTGTTATTTTCCTAAAATATATTAAATAAATTCCATTCATAATTAAATTTCTTGGTCAAATTGTATACATTTAAGTTTTTAGATAGTTCTAGTTAAATGGCCTTCCAGGATGGTTGGAACTAATTTAAATTTCTATCAACTATATACATTTTCAAATTGTCTATTTCCTTATTAGTATTTTTTTTTTTAAATATTCTATCACTTGTCAAAATTTACAAATATGTATATAACCTGCCTCCAAATCTATACTTCTACCACTGTACTATACTCTTAACAAAGCACCGTGTAGGGGAAAAGGGTAGCAACTTATTTGAAATAATGCCTTCAGGCTTCTGGTTTTGAAGCTCCTTTTGCAATAAAGGGCTTTGCTTTGTTTAGTTTGTACATTTTAGGGGCTGATGTAAATTACTAGTTGAGGTTTAAAATGCCACTGAGCCACTGTTGCTTGCATGATATGGTTGAGAGGGATATAGGATGGAGTTAAAGAGAGGCTGTGGACTGGAAGTAATGAAGTACAAATCTTTGATATGAGAATTACCACTTATGGGGGATGGATATAAGTTTTTTTCTTATCTGGTTCTTGTTGGTTTATGTTGATTAGTTTTGAAGGCTAAAACATTTGTTGGTTTTGGATATTTTCTCAATCCAATCTTTCTAGAGTATTGCAGAAGGAGAATGTTCTCAGATGGTGTTAAATATTTCAATGGTATAAGTGCTTTCCAACTATTTCTAAGTTAATTGATTTTGGAAAATGTTGTAATAGCACTTGGTTGAAAAATCCTGGTACTATATTTGTACAGAAATGGGATCTCTTACACAGTATTGGGCCCAAGCAAAAGCATCAGGCTGTCTTTCACAACCTTAAAAACTTTGACTTTCTTTTGAAATGTATGACCTAGCTGGCTTTTCTCTACAAATAATCAACTTATATCCATAGTAAAATTTGTTGTGTTGTGTAATTACCTTGCTCTAAAAATTTTCTCATTTCTTCTGTTTTTATTCCATATTTACATTATCATTTAAAAAATGAAATTGAAATATCTTAAATAACCCATTATTAGTTCAAATTACATTTGGATCATGGAACTTTTTCTAAGGTGTTTTCTATATTTTCCTCAGCGTTATATTTTGTGTTTCTATATTGTGATGATCACTTCTCCACATTTTTTGAAGCTTATGGAACAGTTCATGTAACTTGAGTTTTTAACCTAAGATATGTCTGTATTTAAAATCTTCTGTACATATTAGGTAGATCTCTCCTCCAGTGTTTTTGTGTACATTTTACTACAGAAGTGTAGAGTTAAGTACTACAATCTGGAATTGTAATGAATTTAGGAAAATCTAATAATAGAAAACTCATTCTGTCACTCCTGAGGGCTTATAGTGTAATTTATTCTAGATGCAATGGGTGCATAAACAAATGTAACAATATATGGTATCTGACTTTGAGAACTATATTGAAAAATTGATGAAACATACAGTCTCTTATACATATAGTAGAGGCCTGGTATATGAAATTCATGCATGGCGGGGGTGTTCATCAGCCCAGCTTGCACCCTCTCCAATCTGGGACATCCCTCTCACAATCCAGGACTGCTGGCTCCCAACCACTTGCCTGCCTGCCTAATTACCCCTAACCCCTTCTGCCTGCCAGCCTGATCATTCCCTAACCACTCACCTGCTAGCCTTGTTGATGCCTAACTGCTCCTCTGCCAGCCTGATTGCCCCTATCTGCCTCCCCTGCTGTCCTGGTCACCCCTAACTGCCCTCCCCTGCTGATCTGGTCACTCCTAACTGCCCTCCCATGCCAACCTGGTTGCCCCTAACCATCCTCCCCTGCAGGCCTGGTTGCCCCCAACTGCCCTCCTCTGGTGGCATTGTCACCACTAACTGCCTTCCCTTGCTAGCCTGGTAGCCCCTAACTGCCCTTCCCTGCTGGCCTGGTCACTCTTAACTGCTCTCTGCTGCAGGCCTGGTCCCCCCCAACTGCCCTCCCCTGCAGGCCTGGTTTCCCCCAGTTGCTCTCCCTTGCAGACCTGGTTGCCCCCAACTGCCCTTCCTTGCAGGGCTGATCCCTCCGAACTACCCTCTCCTGCTGGCCATATTGTGGTGGCCATCTTGTGTCCACATGGGAGCGTTCATCTTTGACCACAAAAGGGTGGCCATTTTGTGTGTTGGAGTGATGGTCAATTTGCATATTACCTCTTTATCATATAGGATATTATAAATGGGAATAACATCTTGAAAAAAATATTACAAATATTTTGTAGATATAGATACCCAAAGAAAAAGTGTTCTATATGAAAACATAGTTTCAGAAATTTTAATCATTAGTCACTTTCCATGATTATGTACAGTATTTTCTTTATGTACAGTATTTTCTTTATATAGCTATCCACAAAGCAGTGCTTTCAAACCCTATGTTTTATTACCCCACAATTAGACTCTACTTATTTTTATTTATTTTTCATTTTTTTTATTAAGCTATTACATGTGTACTTATCTTACCATTGCTCTATTATTTTGAGGCACTTACAAGTTGGGTTTTGTATGTTAAAATTTTGAAGGCAAAATA